GATTATTTCTATGAGGTTTGGAAATGGAGATCGTATCATGATTGCAGTTATCTGAGCATAATTCACGAAGGAGAAGAGAAAGATAACAATTGAATAAGGGGATTTGTGCACAGTGTTTAAAATTATAGGAGAGAATGAGACAGGGAGCAGAACCAAGGCCCCTGGGATTCCTCTGGGCTGTGGTGCATAGGTTGGACCAGCTGTCATTAGGATATCTGTAGCAGTAGTGGATCCGTGAGGTAGACCAAGCTGACCTTCATAGATCAGATGGATTGCGTTGGGTATGACTACACCAAGTGTGTTTGCAAATACTCCGTCGTAGCTGAGCTCACAGGAAAAAGATTCCTTAGATACCACTCATAAAGGGATTGAGGAACAAAGCCAGAGCTCTGAGGAAAAACTGGGAGAGTTTCAGATCACTGCTTATCTCTAGGTACTTGAGGGTGAAGTTCAAAGCCCCCGGGGGGTTTGGGCAGGTCCCCTCCCATGCATGGAGAGTCACTGACAAGCCCTCTACAGTGACCCTGCTCTGTCTTGCTCCTGGCTTCGGAGATCAGAGAACTACCATGTGCTTTCAGGCCCAGAATATGTATGAGCAAGTTGTGATTTGTGGATGTATTTCACTGAGAAAGAGGAAGGAAATCATCTTCAGAAGTTAGATGCTCTCCTTACAAACATGCAGTGGTGGAATCAACATGGACATCGGCATGATTTGAAACAGGACCATTGAGCTGCCCAGGGCTCTACCACCAGAGTTTTGCACCTCAGGCTCCTCTCGCAGCTGTCTTACCACCCAAGGGTTCAGGGCTCCCCAGGGACAAGCACATTATGCCGCATGTGTTATGACAAATTTCACTAGACAAAATACCATGCAGGAGAAGCAGCAAATGGAAGGATTTGAGGAGCTAGCAATGCAAAAGAAAATAAAAATAGAAAATGTGAAAAATGTATTTGCCAAGACTAATCAAGAAATAAAAGGAAGAACAGAAAGTACAGTTAAGCAATGGAAGAATATGAAAAAGCTGAACTAGAACTTCTATCAATGAAAAATACCACTGCTGAAATTAATACCACAATTTAAATTGAGGTTTTATAACTCTAGCTGCTCCTTGAACTTAACATAGAGGAAGATTTCTAAAAGAAATGCTTAAATAGCTAATTGGAAAGTTTGATTTGTAATTTATAAAGGTATATGTTTCAAGTAGATTTAATAATTGCAATTTTGATTTCAAAGAGAGCTGGTAAGAGTACAGAATAGGAAAGGAAGTAGCAATAAGAATGTGGTGTTTAAATAGTGTATATTTACTGAGAAATAACTAGAAAAAGTATTAAGTGGAATTAAAAATAGTCACATGGATAACCGCAGAGTGAAAATACAGAGACAATGACAAAGAGAGGTAAGAACGCAAGTAATGCACAGGTTAAAATGGAAAGACAGAAACGTGAGCAAACACATTGGCACTCAATTCTGCATAATCCAGAAAAGAAATGGAATAATCTAGCAAATAGACCTGAACTTACCATTTTAGGAAGAGGTAGCAGAAGAGTAGGAAAGAGCTAAGGACACTATTCTTGTACACTAGATGGAAGATCTAGACACTGGAAACCAAATGTCATTCTAGACAAATTAATCTTATGGAGACATTCTTCGTGCCCAGAGTAAATTTCACGCATAGTCTGTACTGGTGCATGAAGTGTCGCGAGGTACTTTTCCTGGGTGCCTTGTGCTAGCTGTGCCAGCTAGGATGCTAATTAGCGTCAGTGGTGGGAGCTGGGGCTGTGACCGGCACACCTTTTTGCCGAGAGCGTACTGAGAGCAGCTCACTCCACAGAAGTCTGCTAAGCAGCTGTCAGATGGCAGGGACTGACTCGGGCCAGACTGGATGATGCCCCGATGAGGAAGCCTGATGATTCCGTCTCTCTGCTGAGTGGAGCTACCCAGTGCCTTCTGTAACTGTTTTTATTGCAAACAGAAAACATGTCCCCATATTTGTTTCCTCAGAATCCAAGTCAGTGTTGTGATGCTCTTGTTTGAGGAGAAGGATACAGAGGATCTGCACAGGTTAGGAATCTGTTTCCAGAATAATAGACACCAGCTGATTTATGCAGTCAGACTTTATTTGCCTCAGCAGCTGTCTGCATTCTCTTCCTGATGGGGCACTGTGAAGTGTTCTGCTACTTTGGGACTCGCAGCGACCAACACAAACCCGAGGGCTGGGTTTGTGACACCACTGAGGCTCAGCCCTACAGACTTCAATTCTGTCTTAGTTACTTTTCTGTTGTTGCTAAGACAAAATACCCCACCCTGAGAATTAAGGAAGGAAAGGGTTTTTTCGTTCACAGTTTGTGGCAGTTTCATTCCAGACTTGCTCGGCTCCAAGGCAGGGTGGCTCATGGCAGAGGACAGGTTCACTGTGACAAAAGACAGCTAAAGCAGCAAGATCAAAAATGGAGGAGCAGAAAGAGCCAACCTCTCTCCCTTTCTTATCCTGCATCCAGACTCTCTGGCCCAGGTCAGGTGTAGCACTCACACCCATAATCCCAACGTTGGATCATGAATTAATCACCAACCCTAAAGGCCACCCCATCATGATTGCATGAGGTTTTGGGGGGACAACTAGACACAAGCCATAACTTTTCCTTCCGAACTTGCTCCTCCCCCTCCACCCTCTGAGACATGCACATTTCAGCCAGAAGCTGTCTGGTCTCTTTAAACCATGTGGCTTGTGACTGCATGGTGGCGACACCAGTGTTTGTTGTAGACCGTCCAGGAGGAAGGGAGGACAGTTTTCTTTTCTTTCTTTCTTTCTTTTCTTTTCTTTTCTTTTTTTTTTTTATTTTTTATTTTTATTTTTTTTTATTTTAAGGAAGGGTCTACAGGGTGTTCAGGGTCTTACTACTAGATCGGACTCGTACTGAGCCGCCTGCTTACAGCCTCCTGAGAGCTGGGATTACAGGTGTGTGCCACCACACCCAGTCTCAATTGCCATCTCAGTGCACCCTGGGGGCAGGGCCGGCACAGCAGGACCAGGGATCGAACCTCAGCCCCTGTGCCTGCTTGCAGGTGCTTTAATTTGCTGAGCTATTTGACCGGCCCTTGAGGGAGTACAGTTTTCAAGTGCGTCTGACCTCATGCTATGGCCCCATAATGTGAGCAGAGCAGACTCTTGCATTTGTTTACTTGTCCAGTTCATTGCTGAAGTCCTCCCTGTGCTGGGAAGAAGCAGGGAAATGAATAGGCACAGTGTGTCAGTTTGGTGAGCATAGATTGGGATGAATCGTCAGGCTTCTCAAAAACAGCACACTGGGTGAGGAGTGAGATAAAGTACGAAGAGCAGAGGGCGCTACAGGAATCGTCCTCCAGGCAAAACGAAAAGCAAATGCAAAGGGCCTGGGACAGGCATGTATTTTTATCATTGAAGAAAAGCAGAAGGACCAGAGTGACCAGAGTGCACTGGATAAGGGGAAGGTGTTGGATACCATCAGGAATGGAGTTGTGTAATACACATGTCCAAGGTGCTGCCAAAAGTGTTCCGGTATGTCATCTTTTAATTATTTCAAGTGGGTTCATGTGAATTAAGGACATAATTTTCTAAATGTTTTACCCCATGGATGTGTTTTCAAGTCTTAGAGGAGACAGTGTTAACTGAGTCTACCTTGCATCAATTATGTAAGTCATAGGCGGTGAAACTAAAATACTGACATCGACCCCCGAGCTCTAAAGCTCATTCCCTTGTGTTACATCATAATGGCATAGTTCAGAGTGACAACTGAGGTCCCTGACAGCGTTTTACTGTGCTGCATTATAAGGCTATGAATAGACAGGGAGTCTCTCCTCAGGTACAGAGAGATTGCTGGGGAGGCGAGATCCATAATCTAATCATTATTCACTGTGGTGACAGTCAGGAAGCTATGAGCTAAGACACAACCAAGAAGGTATCTGCTAACTTTTTAGACAATTAGAAGGACAAGGACTAAATCTGAACAGAAGGGTATCATAACCAGTGCCAGAACATGAGGGCATGGAACAAGGGACCTGAACAACATGTTGCTCATATTCATCACTTTAGAAGCAGAGCCAGTGACCCAGCTGGTCATACATGTCACTGTGTCATTGCTTGTAGCACGGTAGGTGTCCGGCCACCTGCCTTCTGCTTCAGGGCCCGTATCTGTCTCCTGGGTGGGTATGGTGCCTCTAGGAGACTGTGAAAGTTAATGTCACTTCAAGGCAGTTGACACTGAGACCAACGAGACAGGTATGGGGCATGGGCTTTACCTGGGGTTGATCCCCACAGCTGAGGGAGACAGAGAGAAAAATGAACCATCTACTTTTATTACGCTTTTTAGCATAACAAAATGGAAGTAAAGTATTTTTCTAAAATGTTCATTTTACTGAAGTGGAGCTAACAAACTTTCTGATATGAACAAGAAAAGTAAATAGTGCCCAGGTAACACTTTTGAAAATGCAAGTTTTAGAAAGTTCCTATCTTATTAGTACAGATTGATTGCTATACTTTAAAGGACTTTTTAACTTTTCTGAGTGAGCAGTTAATAATCACAGCTATTGTGCTTTAGCCTTTGTATTTCAGTATTTTTCTGAATTTTCATGTAGTTATTCATTATAAATCTCCATTCTCTGGCTTCACTTTTTCAAAGAGTCTCCTCTATTGACCGCATGCAAAAATATCTTTTTAATTTTTAATGTAATTAAAAATCTAAATCTAGATACACTTTTCCTCAAAGGCAGTGGATTGTGTGTTCCAACTAGAAATGGCAAGTCCTGTGGTCTGAAAAAAGTTATGCATTTATCTGCCTTAGCGTGTTAGGTGTTTACCCATTGGAATTTAGGGTGCATTTATTCTTGGTTTTAGAATCCTTGTGGTTATTGCATGCTATTGTAAAGCTGACTGAGAAATGTGAAATACAGTTGCTTGGTGAAGATACTTGAAGAAGCAGTAATGAAGATTCTGATGTTTGTGCTGCTCTTTTGACCATTACAGATCAAAGAGCACCTTGCTAAGGGGCAGCGCACGCTGGCAGGCGATGGGATGTCCCAGGTGACCAAGACGCTGCTGGACTTGACTCAGAGGAAGAATTTCTACGCGGGTGATCTTCTGATGTCTGTGGAAATCCTCCGAAATGTGACCGACACGTTTAAAAGGGCGAGTTACATCCCTGCATCCGATGGCGTCCAGGTGAGGGAGACCGTCCCACCAGGGAAAGGAATGGGGGGTGCAGCGAAGTTTTGCTCCCCGAATCAGTCATCTTGGAGGCAGGTGGAGGAGGAAACACCCAGCGCTGGCAGGGAGCCTGGCGGCTGCAGTGTGACCTATGAAAGTGACCTGATTCCCTCTGTCCTTGTTGCTATCAACCCTAGAGTGCACACACTGCACCTGCAAGAGCGTGTGTGTGTGTGTGTGTGTGTGTACGCACGCGCCTCGTGCCTGCAGATGAAAGGCACCGTAGAAATTCGAGGTGGAGATGGGTATGTCATTTCCACATTTAATGTCACCATCTTACCAGAGAGACCATTAACGCTGCATTAAGTATAATGAAAGTACATTAAGAATTACATGCAAAGCAGACGTCCTGTAAGGTTGGTTTAGAGGTTTGCTATTAGGAGGGAGAAAACTGTATTTAATTTTGTGGAACCAGTGCCTGGAAACCAAAGAAAAATTATTTGTTTCCTTTTCATGGAAGACCTTCACAGTGCCTTCACTTACTGCCATTAACACAGTCTAAGTGACCATCCAGTCTTGGTGCTGCCTTATCATTAAAGCAGGCCTTTAGGAACAGCAAGCAAAGAACATTGCATGCACCCAGCAGTTTTCCTTTTCGGATTAGCTCTCTTTGTGCTTTAGTCTAAAATATATCCCTACCATGGGTGCTACATTGATTTCTCCACTTCCAGTATATTTCTTTTTCTGTATCCCTTTGTGAGATTCATTAGAATACAGTTGTTTTTTTTTTTTTTTCAAAACTCCTAATTCAGGTGCTGTTCTCTTTTGGTTTACTCTTTTTTTTTTTTTTTTTTTAACTTTGTTTCCTTTTCACTTGGAAAATGCAGAGGCATATTAGTTTGATTTGATTTTGGCTTAGATTTTTTTTTCTTTTGCTTGGTTTTGATTTCAGTTAATTAGAGAGAAAAAGAAGGCCTTGGGAATCATGCATTTATTCATAAATAATAAAGATGCCCCAATTTGCAAAGAGGTACACATATTACTAAATTAATGTGTGTATGGCAGACAGGTCCTGTGAGGACAGTTATTGGTGCTGCAGTCTGTGCTGTATCACCCTGTCCACTTTTTAAATTGTAATTATAAGACTGTATTGGAAAGAAAGGTGATTGAAAAAAAATAATTTGTAGTATTGTACATGTACTAGTTCCTTTCGAGGAATGTAAACATTATGTACTATAAGCACTATAAATAGTTTATTAAAAATGGTTTAAAATACATTGGAGAGGTTCTGGGTGAAAGATTTATATTATATGATCATGTTAAAGATGTGTGTTTCTTATAAAAATGAAACATTCGTAATTTTAAAAAGTAGATAAAATGAACCATGTATAGCTTTTACATATAATTTTGAGATATTTCTATTAGCATTGACATTAAAAATAACATTTGAAGATCTTGCTATAATTACAAGTTGATTTTTTTTTTTCCGGAACCGGGGATTGAACTGAGGCCCTTGCGCTTGCCAGACAAGTGCTTATTCTACTGAGCTATCTCCCCAGCCCCTTCAAGTTGAAATTTTAAAAAAGACATTGTTAAGAGTTGAAATATCAGCCAGGCTCCTGCATTTACTACCTTGCAGCTCTCAGAGTAGAAGACTTCAGGGCTGTAAGATCTGTTTTACACACTAAATTTCTAGAAATCGAGATTACCAGTTCACATAGGAACCATATTTTGTTGATAGAGCTACTCATTATAGTATGCTGATGCAGAGAACAATAAACTCAGAGCTGGTCTGAGCTGTGTGGTTATCACCTTGTTGTGATTTTGGCATAGTCAGACATGGGTTCTACCATATCCGCACTGTCCTCTCTTCGGTCCTCCGTATCCGCACTGTCCTCTCTTCGGTCCTCCATATCCGCACTGTCCTCTCTTCGGTCCTCCGTATCTGCACTGTTCTCTCTTCCGTCCTCCGTATCCTCACTGTCCTCTCTTTGGTACTCCGTATCCACACTGTTCTCTCTTCAATCCTCTGTATCCACACTGTTCTCTCTTCAGTCCTCTGTATCCACACTGTCCTCTCTTCGGTCCTCTACCTAAGCACATATTAAGCTCACTGGTGTCCACTTCATAATGAGTGCTCATTTTTCTATGAGATTGACTACACGGGCATCATTTCACCCATCTGGAGAGCCCTCTTCCTTTGGAATTTGTTCTTGTATCGCCTCTGCCCATCAGAATCCTAGCTCAGCTCTAGCGATTCTGACAGGCAGACCGACCACCACAACTGCAGTTCTATCTATCTGTACTTCCTGTTCAAAGAACTTTGTGCCCCTTTTATTCTAATCCCCAGTGTTGTATACAAAGAACTTGCTTAGTTATTGTCTTCTTTGCCTGATTATAAACTCTGGCTTGTTACCACATTCAGCATTGCCTGTACTTGACACAAACTTCCACTTTCCATTTATGTCTGACTGGGCACTCTCAAGACTAAGGTGGTACAAATTGAACTCATCTTGACCTCCGGGTTTTATGGTATTTCTTACTTTTCTTTGTAGAATTACTCATTCTTTACCTATCCTTTTATCTTTCTCTGACCTTTCTTCTTTGAGTATCAACCTACATTTCTGTCCATGCTATAAACTACAGCCTGGGATGCTGTCATTCCTGACTGTCATGCCTTGCTAAGCAATCTTCAGTGGAGCTTGAAGGATCTTAAATGGCAAACCAGCATCTGCATCTTGGTTGCTACTAACTGTGCAGTATATAGATGACCATCTCTTTGTAGACTGTACACTTGGGTCAACTTAACACACCGATTGTCTTGGGTCCAAGCCACTCTTCCCCCTATGTTTTGAAGCTGACTTGGTCAGCCTCAGCCTTGCAGGGTGACTTCCTGGTTCTTTGGATCTCTGAGTTCCAACAGTGCTTTCTGCCCAGCATCTCAATTTATCTTTAATTGTTAGCATTCACTGAAAAAAAATAAAGTTTTCTGGTCCATCGAGAGGCTGAAGTGAGCTCTTCTTCAACAACCCAAAAAGATTTGGCACAGAATCTTGTCTAGGGAAGGTAATCAACAAGTATTTGTTGAATTAGTGACAAAACTAATTAAAACAGTTACCATTAAGTTGTTTTCATCTAGTATTCCCTCATTGGGAAATAATAAGCAAAACTTAAAGGTTAATAAAATGTACTAGCAATATATTCTTTTTTAAATGTGGTTATATGGCAGGGCATGCTATTTAAAATGGATTCAATAAAAGCTTGGTTTAATGTGTACATGAAAGAGAACAAAAAAATGTTATTGACAAAAAGATAAAAAACTAAGTTGAAGATCCATGCAATGGAATGAAAGATGAAGAATCAACTCCAAAATACTAACTGCTTTATCTTTGGCAAAGAGGCCAAACATCCTGACTGGAGGAAAGACAGCCTCTTTAATACATGGTGCTGGGAAAACTGGCTTTTCACATCCCAAAGACTGAACGTAGACCAATGTCTTACACCATGCACTAAACTAAAATTGAAACGGGTCAGAGATCTAAATACTGAAACTAACACACTCAATCTGCTGGCAGACAGAATAGGTGGAGCTTGTGGAGACAGGTGTAGGCAAAGATTCTATGAACAAAACGTTGAATGCACAGAATAGTGCAAAGATAAATAAGTGGGATTGCATTAATTTAAAAAGGTTCTCCACAGCAAGGGAAACCACCAACAGAGTAAAGAAACAATCTACAGAATGAGAAAAATTTTCCCAGCTACTCCTCAAACAGAGCACTAATATCTAACCTATATAAAGAATCACAATATTAGATGCCCCAATCCAATCTAAAGATCAGTTCCAATGTAGCTATATGAAATGAATAGACACTTCTCAGTTGAAGAAGTACAAACAGGAAATAAACTCGTTAAAGAGAAGTTGAGCATCACTGATCATTTCAGAAATTCACATGAAAACAACACTGCGATTCCATCTCTGAAATGAAAGGCCATCATCAAGAGAGCAACCATTAACAAAGCAGATGTGCATGTGGGAAAGAGAAACCTTTCTCCATTGTTGATGGGTGCAGTCACTGTTGAATCCTTACAGAGATTTCCTGAGAAACTAAAGCTAAAGGTTCCATCCAACACAGCTATTTCCCTTCTTGGTGTCTTCCTGGAAGAGTAAAGCCATCTTATTTCCATGATAAATGCATATCCGTGTTTATAGCAGCACAGTTTGTAACAGCTGAATCTTGGAAACAGCCCATACACCCCTCAACAGATAAGTAGATGAAAGAAACGTGGTATTTTTATACATCAGAGTACTACTGTGTCACAAAGAAGGATAAACATCGGACAGTCAGACACACAAGTTCAAATATTGCACTTTTTCTCTCATGTGAGAAAGCCAAATTATAAATGAGGAAAAAAGTAGAAGGTTGATATTGGAAAGTAGGAAGAATGTGGTTGAAAGAGAAGAGGACCACGTCAGAAGAGTGGAAGGGAAGGGTAGTGAAAGGGATTCTTACAAAGAAGAGAATCAAGGAAAAATGGAATAGAACTTTTGTAAGGAAGGAAGGAAGGGATGTGGGAAAAATAATTAAGATGTATTATATTCATATACAAATTGTGCATGATGCATGTGGTCATTATGAATGGCAAATATGTATAAAGAAAAAGAAGGGAAAGGAAAAGAAGGAAGGGAACGGAAGGGAAGGGAAGGGAACAGAGAGAGAGAGACAAAAAAGAAAGTAAAGAAAGAAAGCAGAAACCAATTAGCTACAACCTGAATTACACACACACACACACACACACACACACACACACACACACAAATATATGAATATGTATATATTTCCATCAAAAATTAAACAAAATGAACTGAAAAATTTGAAAAACTATGAACGCCTTTAGGAGGTTGTGCTAATTTTAGGGCTGTCTGGCCTGGGAAGTGACATGGTTCCTTCCAACACATGAAGTCCTTTTCTCTTTGGCACATGACCCTTGTGGGAATTCGTCACTATTTCTTGAAG